TCAAGCCCTTGCGCTTACCAGGGAAGCACTTATTCCACTGAGCCATCTCCCCGGCTAATCTATGATTTTAATAGTAACATTGGCATCAAAGTGGAGAGAGGTTTGCCAGAGTGACATAAAGGATTCAACTCAAATGACTGCAGCAGGAAGAAGTGGAGCACAGCAGCCACACCCCAGTCAGATCCAAGCAACACCCACCTGAAGGAATCTGAACTTCATAGATCCGACCTGGTGCTAAGGTAATAAATCTATCTAAGCTCTACACCAAAGATCAGAAGACAGTGGTATACAAAATGACAAAGAGAACGAACAAAATACAGTCTCAGGCCCAAAGTCCACCCAGTACAAATGCAGAAGACACTAGCATAAAGGAAACTGGAAATCACACATCTGATATCTCTGAAATAATAGCATTGACAGTAAAGAAACAACCGCAGAAGGGTATAGAAGAAATCAGATCAGAAATAATTTCTAAACTAAAAAATGTAGTGATAACTATAATCAAAGAAGTACTAAGTGCTTCTAAAGAATACACTGATAAAAAATAGAGCAGAATATAAAAATGATAGAACCCCTGAATAAAAGCAATATAGGAAAGAAATACAATGTATGAAACAGATTCAAAGTTATATACAGGAAATTAAAACCTCAATCATAAGCTGGCAAAACTATTTGAGTGAAAATGAAAATAGACTTTCTGACCTTAAAGACACCATTGCAGCTAGTGAAAAAGTAAGAAAAGATTGCTTAAAAACAACTAGGATGCAGGAAAACATAATTCAAAACCTGTAAGATGATGCAAAGATGAGCAATGTGAGACTAATAGGCATCAATGAGAAGGAAGGAGTCAATACAAATGATATAAAAAGAATATGGGCAGAAGTAATAGCAGAAAACTTCCCAAATCTGGGGCAACAATCTGACATTCAGTAACTGAAGCATATAGAACTCCAAATGACATCAACCCAATTAAAACCACACCCAGACATATAATAATCAAGATCCCAGAAATTCAGCATAGGAACAGTATACTGAAAGTCACTAAAGAAAAGAAACAGATCACATTTGAAGAAAAACATAATGGCAGATTTCTCTTCACAAACCATCAAGTCAAGAAGAGCATGGAGTAAAGTACTTGAAGTCTTGCAAGAAAACAAATTCCAACCCAGACTGATATACCCTGCAAAACTCTCTTTCAAGTATAATGGAGAAGTGAAATACTTCCATGAAAAGAACAACTAAAGAATTTCATGATGACAAAGCCAAGCCAACACAGACTACTAAATGATATTCTAGAGAGGGAGTAAATTGATCACAGCCCCATGAATGAGAATGGAAAGAACTCACCAAATAGGGTAAACAATTAAACACAGGAGAATAAGAAGTATACACTAGTAGTCTTTCAGTTATTCTGTTACGTTCAGCAGCAAAATATTTCCATCAACACACTCTACAAATGGACTTCTCTTCCACCCTATGGGTCATATTCCATCTAAGTCTACAGGGTGGATTTCAAAGAAATAGCTGTAACTCAGTCCCGCAAGTGACGCCTCACCACCAGTAACTGTCATGGTCATTATGCATGTCCAAAACACACTAGAACTTTGTGCAATATCCTATCCCCAAACTGTTAGAAGTGCTCATCATTTATTTGCCATTCCAGTATTTATCTTATGTTTTACTCTTAGTGCTTCTTTGCTATCATGAAAACTTTTTCTTAGTTCAATTGTTTTGAA